TTGTGTCAAAAAAACACGATCACAACATATTCAAATGAAAAGGAGCAGAAAGAAGAATAAAATCTTATAACATHTGCCCMWATAAAAATATGTATCTAAAAAACGTACAACATACAAATAATAAAACTCAACTTAATACACAATATCATAAGATCAATCAACTTTAGATTAATCCATTAATCGATAACTTGCATCCCTATCACCAATCAAAGATAATAACTCAACTGTATTATTTAGACACTGAATTCATCAAATTGTCTCTGTACTCCATATTACTAGGACAAATCTGGAAACACTCATGCGTGTCCTCACCAGCCAACTGCAAACAGAAGACCACCCCACCAACATGATCAATATTTGCAGAGACAACATGATGGATGGTGCTGCGAGAGCATTCTCCAGAAGAACATTCAGACCTGAGGCCAAAATGAGCATCATCTTTTTAGATAATTGTGACCAAGCTGAGGGATCTGTGGATGAAGGTGGGCCCTCCAGAGAGTTTCTAGGTTACTTATGGTAGCTGTGAAAGACAGTTCTGTGTTTTTTGGAAAGGAGCACAAAGACATCAACTTGGACAGCCATGGTTTGTACATGCATCATAACACACACTGACTGGTCAATTTAATTTTTCTCTTGGTTGTACTTCTTAAAAGAAAAGTGACTGTTTGTATTCTTTCCTATGTGTGTTCAGCTGTCGAGAAGCAGCATTACAGAAACGTTGGAGTCATGGTTGCTGTGGCACTGATTCATGGTGGTGTGTCACCTGCATTTTTCTCTGAGAGGCTTTACAGTAAGTTGTGTGGTCTTCCAGTTCCACTCAGGGTTCCTACAGTTGAAGACAAGTTAAATTTAAGACTTTTTAAGACTTTTTAATGCCAATTGAAATCAAATTTAAGACCAATTTCACAATAAACACAGATGACAAAAAATTAAAACTGTGGCAGAAACTCATGAATCAAAGTATTTTTGGTTGAATTATTCAAATATTGCTAATAGACCAATTGTTTTTATCCATATCTGACTGCTATTTTGTCAAATATAGCAAAAAAAAAAAACATTCTTAGCAGTCAGTTTTAAACTTAATTTAATTTCTGGAAATCCTTTAAAGGACCCAAAATTTGGAGTTTTAGGACCCACAGTGGGGTCTCAACCCCAGCTTGCTGTAGATGAAACCTTAAAGTGCATGTGACATAAAATGTTTGTAAGAAATATGCATGCATTTTTGGAAAGACAACATTATTAACATATTAGAAAAATTTCACATTGCTCAGATGGACGGTTGTTAAGATATTTGCATGTGAAATAACAGGAAGTGATTTCAAAAGGGAACATCTGCGTGGGAA